AATAATAATAAATGAATTGGTGTTTTATTAAGATATTGTCTAATCATTTAATGGTATAAAAAGTACCAATTATTGAAGTAATACTCATTCAAATAAAAAAAAACAGATTCTAAAAAGAATATTATTGTTAGAGAATATAACAGAAGTAATACATGAAAAATATTTTAATTTCATAGTTACATATCAAATGTTTATTATTTACATTTTATATATCTTAAAAAATGTTAACACAATGAGTTGTTTAATTTAATTATATTCATACTATGATATTCATTTTTTTTTCTATTTAATTAGAGATTATTGTAGTTTGAATCTTTTAAATAAACATTTAATTGAAAATGAAGTAGTTATTAAATAAAAATAATATCAAATTAATGAATAACTGGGTTGATAATATTTAATAATGTATTTATTTTTCATTGTTTAAGAAGTTGTTTTATTCAAATTGTTGTTTATTTCATTCTTTTATAGTATTTGAGTATTGTTATATTTTGTTGTGAATTTATATCTTCAAAATTGAAATTATTCTTAATATATATGATCTCTCATTTGTTTTGTATTGTTTTATTGTTTATTTCTTTTTGGTTATGTGTTACATCAACGTTTATTTCTTTTTATATTATTTCTTAATCTAATTTTCATATTATTCCTATTCCTTGGTATAATAAAATGTAATTAAACAATTTGTTGATGTTATGTAATGAAGTATATATTGTAAAATTTTATTTTGTAATTATTTATGATATTTACTGGTTATTGCATTGATTATTAGTTCATTTCAATATGTATGTCAATCATTTTTATATTTTTCATTATTCTACATATAATAATATAAGAAATAGATGTTGTATAATTTGTCTAATATTTCAATTAGTTTGTATTTTCATTATATATTAAACCAACTTTTATATATTAAATTATTAATATATTTTCTTATATTTTTTTCAAAATACCATTTTATGATTATTCTATTAAAAAATAAAACATGTTCATGTGATGTTCTATGATAGAATTAAATCAAGTATGTTGATAAATAAACGTATTGATATTGATTAATAATTTGTGTTGTTTGAATTGAAGTTTTTTGTGATTTACAAAAGTTAAAATAATAACAAATTACTATATAACAAAAACAAAAACCCTTTGATTCATTAATGAAATAAACTTAAATTAGAATCAGAAAGATTGAAAAGCAGAATAAAATGAAAAGAAATCTTGATTAAACCAAAGGCAGTTTCAAAAAGAAATGGCAAACGAAATACCAAAAGTTAAACCAATTGAACCTTATCTTACAACTCTTATTGTCAAAGTTGATCGTGATAATGTCGATTCAAAATTAATTACACCTGCTGCTAAAATTATTCAACAAGGAGGATTGGTTTGTTTTCCAACAGAGACTGTCTATGGACTAGGTGCAGATGTTTTCCAACCAAATGCAATTAACCAAATTTTTAAAGTCAAAGGAAGACCAAATGATAATCCATTAATTTGTCATATTTCTGACATTGAGATGCTTAATAAATTAGCTGCACATGTGAGTGAAGATGCACATAAATTGATTAAAAGATTTTGGCCTGGTGCATTAACCATCATTTTCCCTAGAAATGAAGCAGTACCAAACGAAGTCACTGCAGGATTAAATACAGTTGGTGTTCGAATGCCATCTCATCCAATTGCATATGAATTTATTAAACAATGTGGAACACCTATTGCAGCACCTTCTGCCAATTTATCAACAAAACCATCACCAACAATAGGAAGACATTGTATAGATGATTTAAATGGAAGAATTGAGATGATTATTGATGGAGGGTCATGTGACATTGGAGTTGAATCTACTGTATTAATGTTAGGAAATGATCACCCAACTATTCTAAGACCAGGAGGAGTTACACTTGAAATGTTACGTGAAGTTATTCCTTCTACTCAAGTATATAAAATGTCAACAAACTTATCATTAGAAGCAAAACCACCAACACCAGGCATGAAATATAGACATTATGCACCATCTGTTGATACAATTGTTATTACTGGAGACAAACGAAGTGAAAAACTAATTGAATTATGTCATGAATATATGAAAAGTGGGAAAAAAGTTGGGGTTGTTTGTTGGAGTTTAGAAAGTCTTGATTGTACTTTGTTTATGAAAGTTACAGGAGATAAGTATAAAGGAATGGCACATGCATTATTTACTGATATGAGAGATTTAGATGGTAAAGTTGATATTATTTTAATTGAAGGAGTTCAAGAAATCAAGGAAGGGTTAGCAGTAATGAACAGAGCAAAGAAAGCAGCTGTAAAGGTGATTGAAGCTAATTGAAAGAGATGTTTGTTAAATTTTAAAAAAGAAATTTCAGAATAAAAAAAAACTTGAAATTAGAGAAATTAATATTTCAAACGAAGTAATGTATTATTTTTTCCTATGTTTATTAACAATAACTATTAATGCACATCTTTTAGATATTGTTACACCTATTGATCCAACAGAAATAATGACAGTTTATTATGTTGATGGATCAACTCAAATATTTACTGATGGAATTAATTTAACACCTGACCTTAGTGATAAATCAGGAAGAATCACATCACTTAATGTTTATTCTTTGTTTCAAGTTTTTAATTCATAAATAAATAATTATTTCAGTAGAAAATTAAATCAGACAATTTTGAAGTTCATTTTAATTTCAGTATATTTTCATCAAAACCAATTATGGGAAATGGAGTTGGAATTTGGTTTACTGATACTCAAATATATAAAGGAGAATTAAATGGAGGACCAGATGTATGGAAAGGAATAAGTATTTTAATTAATACAAATGAGAATAATAAACAAAACAATCCATTAATTGTTGGTATTGTTAATGATGGAACAAAAAGATATACAATAGAAAATAATGGAATTGATATTGCAAATGGATATTGTTCATTTAAAGAAATTATTAATAAAAAAGACTTAACAACATTATTAATTTTCAAATATAATAAACAAAATTTAACGGTTCAAGTTTCACTTCAAAATGAACTAAATCATAAAGAATGTTTTACATTAAATGGAATTCTTCTTGAACCTCCATTTGTAAGTTTCAGTGGAAAAACAAGTAGTACTTCTGCATTAATTCGAATTAATCAAGTTAATATAATTGAAGAGAATATTTACACTAAACAAACTCAATTAAATCAATTAAAAAAGAAGAAAAAGAAAATATCAAAAATTATTGATGAAAATGATTTACTTCCAAAACAATATCCTACAAATAATTTATTTGGTGAAGCTATTGATGAAGACTCTAAAGTAGATGTTGCTTCAAACCAATTATATGACCTTCTCATAACCCTTCAACAACGTGTTAATAAAATTGAACAAATATCAAATGAAAATTTAATAAAATATAAGAAAATTAAATCTCTTCTTTCTACTTTTATTCAACCAATTACTAATAAGTTTGTTTTTATTCTTTTATCTTCATTTTTTTATTATTCATTTTAAAATAACCTTCTTGTATGATAACTTATTTGTAGAACAGAAACTTATGACATAACAAAGGTTTTGTCTCAAATTCAAAACCTTAAAGAATATAATGACATTGTCATGAAAAAAGGAAATAATGCTGTTGAAATTACTCAAAGATTAGTTTTTAATTTAAATGATCCAGTACCAATTGAACAACAACATCATCCAATCTTTTGGTTTATTGTTGTTATTACACATCTTCTTATTTGTGGTTGTATGGCATTTCTTTATTTCCACCATCGTTCAAAGGTTAGTTATAAAACGTTGTAGTTTTAAATTGAAAAGGTTAATAATGTTTAATGTTATTTCCAAAGTTTTTATACAAAGGATCAAAGATGAATTTCTTAATTTGAGACTTTTCAAAAAAGAAGAAAGAGTCAAACCCTAAAAATAAACCCTGAAAATTATACTAGTTATATATAATCGAAAAAGGAAAACTTAAAAAAAGAAAGTCAAAGTGAATAATGGCTACAACTAATCCAAGCGGATTAACTCAAGAAGAAATTGAAGCAAGAATTACTAAACTTCTTGGAATCGTTGAAGAATGTGATACTATTAATGATCTTCGTGCACTTTTTAAGGAGAAATCAAATTTTGTTGCATATAATGGATTTGAGCCATCAGGAAGAATCCATATTGCACAAGCTATTCTTACAGTTCTAAATGCTAATAAAATTCATGAATGTGGAGGGTTATATAAAATTTATATTGCTGATTGGTTTGCCCAATTAAATCATAAAATGGGAGGTGATTTAAGTAAAATCCAAGTTTTAGGAAAATATTTTATTGAAGTTTTTAAGGCATGTGGTATTCAAGAAGGAGCAGCAGAATTTATTTGGGCGTCTGACTTAATTCAAAATAGTAAAACTTATTGGCCACTTGTTCTTGATATTGCTACTAAAAACACAGTAAATAGAATTACTAGATGTTCCCAAATTATGGGAAGAGATGAAAAAGATGCATTAAGTACCTCACAACTATTTTACCCATGTATGCAATGTGCAGACATTTTTGAATTAGGTGCAGATGTTTGTCAATTAGGATTAGACCAAAGAAAAGTTAATATGTTAGCTAGAGAATATGCACCAACAGTCAATAGAAAAGCACCAATTATTTTATCTCATCATATGTTAATGGGATTAAAAGGACCAAAAGCTGGAAAAATGTCAAAATCTATTCCAGACTCAGCTATTTTTATGGATGATTCTTATGAAGAAATTAAACGTAAAATTTCAAAGGCATTCTGTACTGATGAAGTTGTTAATAATCCAATTTATGAATATTTGAGATATATCATTGTTCCATACCTTCAAAAGGTTACTCTTTGTGGTAAAGAATATACTTTAGAAGATATTGTTCCTGGATATCGTGAAAAAGATGGAGAAGGTAAAATTCTTATTGCTAAACCAAAATTCATGGAAGAATTTAAAGCTATGGATAAGAGACAATTAAAAGAAGATGTTGCTCGTTTAATTAATGAGATTATTGAACCAGTTAGAAAACATTTTGAGACTGAAGAAGGAAAAAAATTATTAGCTACTGTTCAGTCATTCAACAATGCTACCACTCGATAAATTTAATTTATTTTCTTTTTATTTTTCTTTGTTCAAAAATTTGATTAAATTTCATGTATTTTAATTTTTTTGTTCTTTTAAGAATGAACTTTCTTGATGATGACATCCTTTTCCAATAATACCCATATATAGTGTCTATTCATTGTGCTTTCCAGTTACTTATTTTCATTATACTTGAATTTAATTCATTTAATGTTATTATGACACTATCATAATTGAAATATCTTTCATTCCATGAGGTGATTTGTTTTATTTTCCAATTTTCTTTATTTAATATCACCTGTGTTTCATATAACGATTTCCAATATTCTAAAGTAATATCGTTATTTGGGTATATTTCATTTTTTTTGTCTTTCTTCCTTATTCTATTTTCTTGTTAGAATCAAACATTATTTTATTTGTATTGATTCTGACTATTGCATCTTTATTAAATTTAATTCTTTATTCATTGTCATCATATATTTTAGGTGCTTTATTCTTTCTAGTGCTTTAACTTTTATTCCTTCTTCATCATGTTCTTTTAATTTCATGATGCACTTTATTCTGTACCATTTTCTTCCCTTGACCAAATCTTTTATTTTATTAATTTTCTTTAGGATTTCTTTTATTTCATCAATTTTATCTCCTATTATTTTATTTTGGAGATAAAGGTGCATAACCATTGAAATCCTCTTCATATCATCTTGCAGATAATGCACTCTTCTTCCTGACAATATCCATCTATTATTAATTTCCATTATTAATTCGTCAGCTTCTTTTCTTTTCCAGTAGTAATTAATGTTTGAACATTTTTCTACTTTCATTTCTTTCACTTTATTGATGAGAGTGTTAAGGTATTCTTCATCAATTTCAGTAGAGTTATTCTTTATTATGATGTTTTTATTATTGAATTACACTCTACTCTTCCTTCTATTATATCATTTACTTTCACTCTAATGTACCGTTTAGTGCTTTCTTTTATTTTATGTGACATTTTAATATATTTAATATATTCTTTTTCATTATTGACATTGATGTTTATCATTTTTATTATACTTTCTATTTGTTCCCATCTTAATTTCTTAAATAATTTCTTATTTAACCAATTAATTGCAAAACAATACAACACTTCAATTAAATTTCTATTTCTTTCTTTTGTTGTATTTCTTCTTGTATTTTCATTATACTTTGTTTGTTATTTTTTGTTTTTTGTTATTTATTATTCTTGTAATTTTACATATTTCATTCATTTCTTTAATTGGGTTTTGTTTTTAATTTCTTCTTCATTTGTTTTAATGTCTTTTTCTTCATTGTATTTTGTTTTCTTTATTTTCTTCTTTGATTCTTTCATTTATCTTTTTTGATTGAATATACTTCTTGAAGAATATAATACCATCTTTTCCTTTTACCTTCTTACTTCTTGAGTATTTCTTCATATTCTCCTTTGTTTCATTCACTTCTTATTCTTCATATTCTTCTTTGTATATCATTTCTTGTTATTCATTTATATTTGTTATGGGTGTAATCTTTATTATTATTGTATTTATCTTGTTTCTTATTTGTTTTCATTTGTATCTTTCTTCTTTTAATCAATTTTTCCTTTGTATTTCATTTATCATTATCATTTTTATTTCTTTTCAATTTATTGTTATTGAAATTCATTCTTTTATTGTATGACATTGAATTTTTATATCTTGTTTGGTTTTCTTTACAATACACAAAGTATTTATAAAATAACTATGGCATTAAAATTTGTTGTATTTACTGCATTGGAAAAGGACTTTATATGATAAACAATATAATAATAAAAATATAGAATGAATAACACTGATTGAATATAAATGGATAATATCATTTACAATTATAAATATATAAAATCAAACATCATTTTGATTGTTTTAATTAATTAAATATTCATCTATTCATTTATATTCATTTATATCTTCAATTAAATCAATAGAAATATTAAAGATAATATTTTCAATGAAGAATGACAAAATAAATATTTTTCTTCTTGTTATTATTTGTTCATTTCTTTATTTAAAATATATTATATTCTTCATTCATCATTATTTTACATTGAAATATTATATCAAATTTATTATTCCATTTTGATAATAATTATTTATTTTCATTAAAGATAAATGAGCTATATTAAATTCAATCAATATTTTTAATACACATTTCAATTTTCTCTTTAATCTCATCATGAAATATTAATCATTATAGACTTTTCATTTTGATTCAATTTTTTATTATTTTCAAAACGTTAGTATTTAAACTCAAAAAGAATAAAAAATATCATCAATACTCATTTTTATTTTATTATTTTATTTTATAAATTTAATTGATTTCAATACATTGGGTACCAACAACAAAATAAATACTTCATGACAGTCGAATCACTCAAAAGAAGAATCATCTTCAATAGAACTGTATATTTGTTTGTTATTTCAATAGAAGAGAAACATTCAAATTATCTATAGATTACCTATTTCTAATATAATGAATGATGATAATTTTTTGAAATTGAAAAGAAGTGGTGAAGAAAAAGAGAAATTAAATAAATGAATATCCAATCATCAGAAACAGTTGAAATGAGAAAATAAAGAAAAGTAACACCATTAGAGAAGAATGGAAGCGTATGTAATGTTATACATTCAGTTTAATTGAAATAATTGAAAGAAGAATAATAAATGAGAAATATGGTGATGATAAGATAAATACTATTTCAGAAGAATATATTGTTCATTATAATAATGAGAATGAAAAGAATTGATATGATGGATGATTTTGTTCAAATATTTATAATTATAATACAAAAATGGAAATATCTAAGAAATGGTTAAATATACACTGAAATTAATTCTGCATGCAGAATTGAAGTAATTCAATTTAATAAAATCAAGAATTATAATAGAGTTACAAGAAATAATAAAATTGAAGTTAAAGTAGTATTTTTCACAACGTCTTGTTGATGTTTCCACTGAGGTATCATTTGTTAATTTCCAAATATACAAAAGTAGAAAATATATTGGTATTCAATGAAGAATAATTTCATTGTTTTGAAATATAAAGTTTGTTGCGTTAGATAATATGTTGTTGATATGAAAGAATTGTTAATAGTTAGAAATTCATTTTGAACAATATTGTTGAGAGAATTAACATATCAATATGAATATAGAATGAAATATATGTAGTGTCACTACTTACACATTTTATCAAACTAAAATTCAATATCTCTGGTTATTTTGCATTTAAATCACTTATTTTTAACATTTTACATTTATCATTATTTGAATAAATTCAATTTTACATAAAATATCTATTATTTATTGTTTAATTACACAACAAATGAAATTAAAATATAAATAGAAGAAAGATATTTGATAATAAAAGTATTTTATTAATATATCATTTCTTATATAGTGTGATTATTTATTATTAATGTATTTTATGGTTTGAATGATTTATGATTGATGACATTATTTTTATTCATTCTTAATTTATTATTTATTCATTAAATTATTTTCAAATAATATGTTCTCATTTATATTGTAATTAAATTATTTCTTCATTATTTATTTATTCATTGTTGAATTGTTGTAATGAATATACAAATAGGAATTTTATTAAAATGAATATGAAATAGAAAAAAAAAAAT